ACAGCGAAAAGAAAGCCCGCTGAACACCTCGGTTCGGATTCTTCTACAACCCGGTTGTCGAACAAATCTTTTTCGTTGCTTATTTACTTTGACACAATCACGCCTTTTCCGCTATAACTGGAAAATTGCATGAAAACGAATCCTCGACCTCTGAAGCTAGAGTAGACGCTACATCTGGTTCCAAGAAGAAACCGCACAAAGAGGTTATGAACGGTGGCTTTGGAGGTGGCGATGCCGAGCAACGCAGTCAAAACATCATCGGTCAGATGCGTCCTTATCCCACGCTCCGTGGATAAGAAAGGCTATTAGTTTTCGGTAGTCGTGAAAAATTATATTCAAACAAGACCGACAGCGAACCAAACAAGCAACCAGTCGCAAACAAACGCAACACGTCGCCATGCATAGCGGAACGGCGATTCTGGCTGGCTGGTGCGACGAATTCCGCGAGGATCGACGGCGATCTATTCTAATACAAGCCTCGAGCTGCTGGTAAGTGCGGCAATTTCCCGACCTGACCGATGAACGAACGAACGATTTGCGCAAAAAAACACCTCGGGGAGTAAATTAATTTACTGATTCTTGACAAGAGAGGGCAGCGCGTCCATCCGAACTGCACTAACATCACAAGGACATGCCGACCTTTCTTAGATCTGGCATGAAACATCACGTCAGAAAATAACAGGCTATAAAGACATGCAGGAAATATATCAAATTACTACCGTCCTTTAGTTCCGATTTTCAGTCTTCGCTTTTAGCACCCTCTTTCCATTAATTCCTTTCTACTTCCTTACTTCCTTCGTTACTGTACTCGGTCTGCTTCGTTCCTGTTGCTTTTGCCTGTATGCCTTCTTACGATTACCAACGTTGTTACGTGCTGTTCGTCACCCTGGTTTGTTGTACTTGTTACACTGACTTTCTACCCTACTTTACATTCCAACTGACTTGAACCCGTCACTGCACGCCACATAAACTGTTAAACTGTCCTCCTCGTTGATCCGACTTCCTTTGACTGTGCATCACTTCTGCCTAGTCCGAGTTGAAACCTCACTTCCTTCTTACCTTCATCACGCATTGACGGATCTGATGACCGCCATTTTTTCTGCATTCTTTCTGCTATTGTCTTAAGCCTCCGTCTCTAGTACATTGTAAAGTTGTAAAAGTATGCAAGGCGTTATGGCGCCGTCCGTTTGTTTCCAGAGACCGTAAGCTTAAAGAAACAAGTAACTGAGCAAAATATGGTCTTCGATCATTTGCTCTGCCAGTTCATTGTCACAGATCTGCAGAAAACGAGGAGACAGATATCAGAACGTGTCTCAAGCAAAGGTATTCGTTGTGAACAACAAATCGAGGGAATAAGTCCTGTTCGAGCCGATACAAAGGAACAAGACCGGCATGACGACGACATGTTACGACGTGAGATGATGAGGCACAGTCGATATGTTCTGCATTCGCCGCATCACAGGATTCGTTCGACCCCAAACCTTCATCTCAATCATTATGAGGTTATAAGCGACGCAGATTAGTGAGGTGCCAACACGGAACTTTCGAACGAATGAAAGAACAAGTAAACGGTTTCAACTTACCGCAATACGATCTTCCACTGAGGCCGGTCTTCCTGAACCAGACGGCCGGTCGTCCTTCAGACCGGGAGGCATCGGAGCAGGGAATCCTGATAGTTGAGCTGCCAAGGGATTTGGTAACGCTAGGAGGCCAGAAGCGGCCAAACTGGCGCCGGTGATACCGGGCTGCAGGCTGGATGGTGTCAGACCAGGGTGCGGCGACGGTCCAAGTCCTGGAGGAAGTCCGGGTGGACCCATCGTTGCTCCGGTGGCTGCTGCGTGCGCTGCCATCTGCTGTGCATGCATCTGTTGCTAAAAGAGAGCAAATGAAAACTGTTTCGCATTATTTCATGCATTAAAATCGCACACGATTATAAGTATGTCG